TCGCAACTTGTTTGGCCCTATAGATATTCGATATGGTACCTGTGCTCATGTTACAACCTGTGCTGTGGGAAAGTGACCTCTGAGCGTGGGCAGCCTATGGGATGATCAGCGCTTTCATTTTTAGTGTCACTGGAAAGATAAAACATTTATTGAAGTTGGTAGCATTTTATGAATTGTTATTGTTTTATTTTATTGTTATTGTTGTTATACTATTATTATTATTATGACTTTTAGTATCATTATTATTATTATTGTTATTATTATTATTATTATTATTATTATTATTGATATCATTATTATTTTATCATTATTGTCATTATTATTATGATTGTTGTTGTTGCATATATCATTTATTTTTATTTTATTCATTATTTTTATCAGTATTTTTGTTGACTGCTGTTGAAGTTATTATTGTTATGGTTTTTATTATTGTAATTTTTTTCTATTATATTTTTAAATTGATGTTTTTTATTGATTTTGAAGGTGATTTTGCAGAATATTGTTATCATTATTACTGTTTGTTTACCATTATTATTATTTTTTATTAATTATTATGTCATTATCATTTTTAATCAAGATTTTTATCATCATTATGAAAAAAAAAATTTGCTGTGATTATTGTTCTAGTTATTGTTAATGATATTGGTATTTACATTCTTATTACAGTTCTTGTAAGGGATTATTATAGTTGATATTATATATTATATTATGTTTATATATTTCTTTATTATTATCTTCATTATCACGATCATTATTGTTATTATTAACATTATTTTTCATATTGCTATTACTATTATTATTATTGTAACTATTACTATTATTAGCATTATTGTCATCAGCACTTTTCATCATTGTTATTGCTGTTATTGATATTCTTACCTTTTTTATTACTGTTTTCATTACTATTCTTTTGGATCGGGCTTTTGTACATTTGATATACAGTATATAATGTTACCTGAAATTTGAAAGTAAAGTGAATTTGTGGTTACAAAAAACAGAGAGAAAAGGGATATATTTTTTATTTGATACTCTGCAGTCTTTTGTCCATTTTATACTGTGAAATAAATGAGTACAGGATTAACACACATGACTAATTGTTTTCCCTATTTATTTTGGTAGTTGTTTAAAGTTTAGGTTATCTTTCTTTCTTCTCTCTTTCATTTTTTCCCTTTCTTTTTAGATCCTAAGTCTGCAGTTTGAATTACATGTGCAACTTATTGTTTTGAAGTAATTATTGGATGCTTTACACATTTTACCCTCACATAATAATGTTTTTATTCATGAAGAATTATTAAGGTAATGAAGGTACCGCTATGAATAAAGTACGACAAATTATTCTTGGGTGAAAAGAAGCAGGAAAAACGAGTTTGAATGTGCGTACGTGTTGAGTATGTGTCAAGGACTTTTTCTAATTTGACAGTAGCAGATCCTGTTCTCTGTTAAGAGGAAGTTAAGAAAGAGAGATTGCAATTGAGACAAAAAGCAAAAAAAAAATTGGACTTGGTAACATTACCAATTTTTTATTTTTCTATTTCAGTATATTTATTGCTATTATATACCCATGTGCAATTTACTAATGATGTTTTTTCTCTCGATTTTTCCAAACAGACAACAACCCAAGTCAGACTACACCTATAGTACCTCACTCACCTACCGTGATCGAGTGACCCCAGACCGGAAGATCGGTCCCCAAACATGTCCCGTCGTCTTTAGGGTGGGAATGTGGGCTACCTCAAATCCCCAGATTTCTCAACCGCTGGGTTAGACGATGAACTCACCACCAGTAGCCTTAATCTCAGGAACCGAGCAGTACTTAGGTCCATGGATGCTCTCTCAGGTAAAGTGTTTGTGCCTTTTCCGTGCCTTTGTTATTGGTACATTGTGCAGTTGGAAAGAGCTTTTAAGTTTATCAAAGGTGGTAGTTGTGTTTTTAGGTATAAGTTCTCTTTTTGAAAGGTATTGCTGTTTTTTACTTTTTATATTCAAGTTCTTCCTTATTATTTAACCTTATGGTTGATATTATTTTTTTCATTGTCAATTCCTTTTGCTTTGCTAATAGTTAATAGTATTAATTCATTTATATACCTTATGTATAGGTGATTTTTGCCTCAGTGATTGTTGGCTTTTTTTTTTTTGATAGGCATATATTTTTATATTATATTTGTCATTTGATTTATAAAACATTTTGTAGAAAAAAGGAAGTATCAAAGAAAACTTTATTTATTAGGCTTCTTATTGTGTGTGTGTGTAGATACCAGCGATGCTGAAGATACGCAGGAACAGCTTATCATACCCAGGAGAAGATCCAGTCGGAGTCGAAGTATTGATGTCATGCCAAAGTCAAATGGCACAGCAATGAGCAGAACAATAACGTCTTCAAGTAAGTGCATGTTAACCCTCTGTGTGAATTTTGTTCACTTTCTGTGATTTGTCTTTGAATGATATATCTGCTTCCTCCTTCTCCTCCTCCTCCTCCTCCTTCTCCTTCTTCTCCTTCCCCCATCCTCCCCTCCCTGTTCTCCTTCTCCTCCCCCTTTTCCTCTACCTCCTCGTTCTCCTCCTTCTTCCTCTTCCTCTCCCTCTCCTCCTCTTCCTCTCCCTCTCTCCTCTTCCTCTTCCTCTTCCTCTTCCTCTCCTCCTCCTCCTCCTCCTCCTCCTCTCTCCTCCTCCTCCTCTTCCTCCTCTTCCTCCTCCATCTTCCTCCTTTTCCTTTCTTTATAAACTGAATTTATATTAGTACAACCCAGATTCCTTATTATGCAATTTAAATTCCTATTCTAGGATGTGTCCATACTTGTAAAGCATATTAGAAACCTATAACCTGTGCAGGAGGCATATGATAGCATTCTGATACAGTCAGGATTACAGACTTCTGAAACAGTGGTTTTGTTTGCAGTTTATTATTCCTTGCATGACTGCCAATCATAGGAAACCATTTATGCTATAAAATTTCAGAAACTCCTCTCTCTGAGAAATATGTATGTTTTTCTCAGAGTATATAAAATTTACAAAATTTAACTTTTTTGAAAAGTTAAGTTGCCATAAAAAATGCCACTTGGCTTAGAATGAGCACATTCAAATGACAGTTGTAGAGTAACACTGCCATGGTTAGCTTAAATGACTTGCATTACATCTAGGTTTGTAGCTGATCCTTGCAAGTCAAAGGTGATACCATATTGAACCAGATGTCAGATATCTTAAATTGTCATTTGTACATTTTTATAACCATGACATTTTTTATACATTTATATGGACTTATTAATTTTTTTAGAATTAATTATGTATTGGGTGAGAAAAGCTGTTTGTATAGCAATTTTACTGTATGGACTTGTGGTAAATAATGAACTAATTTGTAATTTGTATCCGATTTGCTTCACTCTTGCACTTTATAAGAACAAAGATTTTTAACCATCGAATTGCTAGAAAACCTAGTTGTTCTGTTGTCAGGTTAAGGCTTACTTGTTACAGTAAAAATATATCCAGTTTAGTCGCTCAGATATAGATTTCATGGAACATGTTAAAATCAAATATATTTTGATTTATGAAGTGCCATAGAAAGTTCCAATACTGTTATCACATTTGCAGTCATATCAGTTGTAGCACTGCATGAACTTCTTCTTCTTTTGTCTCGTCTCCTAAAATCAAGTAATTTTTCATTCACAGCTTACACAACCACAAGAACCCTTCACCGTGGCCTTGATGCAGACAGTGATGTTGATGATGGCAGTGAGTCTACAGTCCCAATTCGTGCAACACCATTGACGGCAAGAGGTGGAACACCCCTTGGCCGATCCTCAACACCACTCACTAGTTTGAGAAGCAGAAACACTCACTGCTGAAAATACCAGAGGAGGCTACACTTTGGCAAAGGGGGCCATTGCTGAAGACATCGAGGAAGAAGATGAGAAACCCAAAAGTAACTATTTTCCCTTTTTCGTAACTATGAGAATTTTTTATTCACTATTTTGTCTTTTAGCTTGTAATAATTTTCATTTCACAAGATACACTTGGTTAACATAGTTATGAACAATTTGTTTCTGTAGACAGTTTAATGTGTGTATGTATTCACATAAAATGTAAAAATTACTAATAGGTTCATTGCAATGTCCAGATACTATTGTGGCATGGAGTCAGAAGACCTGGGAGACTGTGGTGCGAATCACAATGATAATGACCACCTCAGTGATAGCCATGGCCACACAGAGCAGTTACAGCCACTACCTCAAATAAAGTCGATGAAGATTCCCAATCAGAGAAGGCCTCTCAGTCATCATTCATATCCAGAATTAACACAACACGAAGGAGGATGATATCCTCGACGACTGAGTACTGGGAATCAACAAAGGAACGCCTAAGGAAGAACCCCATTCTCATCTGGATTCCGTTGCTGCTGCTCCTCCTTTTATTGGCTCTTGTGGGTGAGTTGACACTGCTTGTTTTTCCATTCAGTGTGTAATGCTGCATGCGTATTTATTTCGTGTTAAGTTTATGTGCAAGTGAAGCCACCTTATCAAAAAAATGATTGAGTGGAAGACATGTATATTGTCAATGTACTTAAGAAACCTCTCTAAAACCCTATTTTTGAGTAAAGCATATTAATAAGGGTTAAGAAGTATGGATTTGATTATGATTACTATTATTAAAGGGAACATAATTTTGAGAACTTGTGAAAATATAGAGTGAATCAGAAGCACAATGTATGGTTTCCACTCAGATACAAATAGTTACTCTCAGATAAGGAAATTCTTTCATGTGTATTTGAAGAAATGAACAAATAGGTACATCCTATTTATTTTGGTTAGTTTAATGATTTGAGCTACAATTTTTAAGATTTGATATTGTATCAGTTCTATGCTACAGGTGTTTGGTTATTTTGTTATGTAAGCATATTTTTTTCATAAATTATTATTTTTCCATAAAAAGATAAATAAATAAATAAATAAAATATGTAGTTCCGAAAAACAGCTTCAGTTGCATAATATGTGGAATGAGCAATTTGGCTTCTAATTTAAAACAGTGAAGTAAACTTTTAAGAACCAACAATAATCACACACAAATAATTACTAATACATTTAAAACTGTTCGGAATTGATTAGCTTAACCCATTGATGCAAGGATTACAAAAATGTGTGTCATGAACCCAGTACTTTTAGTTTATTAGTTGTATTTAAAGTTTCCTTAAATTCCTCCACAAGTGCATAGTCACCAAGGAGTAAATTATACTTCTTTTTTTTTTTATTGTTAATAGTATTGCCAACACCTCAGTAATGGGTACGGCTAGATATGTTGTGATATGTCAGCCTATGATGTGTGTACGCGTCATGACTTTCAGTGGGTGGTCTGGCTATGCACAACTTGGGCCAAAAGTCTAGACTGTTGTATAAGATTATATCACAAATAAATTAGGCCCTGTCACCACATTATAAGAATCATAATGTCAGAAATATTAACCCCCTGGATCTGGTTACAATGGTTACATAAGTGGCTAGCATCCTGGGCGTGCGGCGCCTAGGCCGGGCGTGCACGAACACCCATGAGTGCGGACAAGACTCTGTGCCTCCCCTTTGAAAAGTTATTCTGTGAAATCTTTTTTTAGATTTATCACCATTTTCCAATGTCCATATTTTCTTTTGTTTTGCTTTATCCAGATGGTAATTGTTTTCCTTGCACAGACTCCATAGCATGTCTCTATGTAGTAAATAGTTAAGTGCAAGAAAAAAAAGAAGGAATATTTGGTTATTTGTGTCATATATTTCCTTTATTTTTTTGTAATTTTCAATTTTACGTAATACTACCTGCGCCACTGGTCAGAGTGGCCAGGAATACGGTGCACAGCATGGAAATGGTGTCCTCCATGGAGCCTGTGCTCTTCTAGTCACTGCTTACGCACATTACATTCCACATTTGTTTATCGATGGGTATAATGCTAAAGCCCCCTTCTAAGTGTCAAATGAGTCAAATCACACTCCAAGAGGTTTGCGCTCTCATGGCGAGTCGTTTTCATTACCCTGGCCTTTGCTCTTGACGCTTTGTTCACGTCATCCGTATAGCTGCCCAAGTTTTTCCTTGATGTGACCGCAGTGTCGTCCGGATCCAGGGGGTTAATAGCACTAGAGGGAAGGGGGGGGGGGAATTCAAGGAAAGGGGAAATCTATTTGCCTACTAATTGGCTCCTTCGTGGCTGAGCACATGTTGAAACATTTATGTGCAAGCAAAATTCACAAAACAAAACTTTAGTAGACAGTATATGTATGTGTATTTTAAGCACCCAACATATTCTATAATTCATATGATCTTGATAAAGGGATCATCCAACATGACATCATTTAAGAAATTCAGTTATTTCTCTATGTTTTATAAAGAGCTCGTCCTGCCTGCTTCATACGTGTTCAGTAGATTGGTTTTCATAGTAAATTTATGTATAGGGTTAGGCTGTCTCATCCATCGTTTCTTGATATTTTTCGTCATTGTTTGTACATTTATTTGGTTGAGTGACTGTTCTATCTCTTTTAGCTTTTTGGTTGTACTTGATCTTAGTTCATGCTGGATACATATGAACTAGTTTTGCACGAAGTAGATGTAATTGCAGGTTTAAATTATTATATTGCAATGAATATTAGTTTTATTTAGTTTTATTTTGTTGGAAAGTTTAGTGACTAACATTGTTTTCATACATTTGTGGAATACTTTGACCTTCATTAATAATCTGATAGAGCACACTGCTGTATAAGAACAAGGAGAATATCTGAGCTTCAAGTTTATATTCTAAGCTTTGTGTGGCTTACTGTGTTCTATTTTGAGAGCTGATATCTTGAGAGTAAGCTCTTGAAACTGTGGACATTTTTTGTGTCTAGATTTTTTTTTTCTTTGTGTCAGTGATGAAAATGAAAAAGACTTGTTTGTTTACTGTAAATATTATTTTTGATTTTTGGGGGAGGGGATGAAATACAATTTTGGATGATAGAGAGAGAGAAAGATTGAAAGAAGTTACTTTGTAAAGTCTATTTAGTTTCCATTTCAAGTTATTTTCCATGTTGCCCATACAACCAATCGTATTTTATAAAAATAGTAAACCCCGAGACCCATATCCCATTATTATGGCTTCTGTGATATTCAAGCATATATAAACACCATGCTTAATTTTTTCGATATTCCTCTTTCGTCAAGGTTATTTGTGCTGATTTGTTGTTTTCAGGTTGCAACATACCAAGCTCTCCAACCAACAGTACTCAGTCTACTAATAATACTATTAATAATTCTCTAATAACTTGAGTATTTCCTTTCCTCTGATAAAAAAAAGAAACTTGGAAGCTCTTTTATTTTTTTCTTGTCTCTTTTCATTCCTCTGAGATAGTATTATGGGAATCACCAATGCCCAGTCTCAAAATGAGTATTGGTTTACACATAAGTGCTAGTTGGCATTTGTAAAATAAGTGCTGCGTGTAGTGCACTTAAAGTATGATGTGTGATTAGCATGTGGTAGTTTGCTATCATAGTTGAAGTATTACTGTAAAGTTTTGTAACTGCATGTGCCATGTTAATCAGACTGCATGATAGCAGTATGTATGAGATATATTACTAATATTTACGTAGAGAGGGCTTTCTGCTAAGTTAAGATTTCTTCTCTCAAGTAAAATATGGTTACCAAGATTAAGAAATCCCCTCTTTTATGCTTGTAAACCATTCACCTGATAACATGAGCCAAGAAAGCAGTTAAATTAGTTGCCTGATGCTTAAAAAGGATTCCAAGCTACAGATGCTATATAAAAAAATATATATACTGTCACCCATAACCAGATTAATTTGTTGGTATATCATATTTTAGTTTATACTTCTGTATTTGTTTTGATATATAAAAAGTTGAAGTAAAAATGGAATTATTGGGACTAAAAGAAAGAAAGGAAAGTTGTTAATTTCGATTCATGTTATCAGAAGAATGACCAGCTAATGATAATTTTCTCTACTAACAGCTTACTGGTGGCTGTTGCAGTCCCGTGCCAAGACAGGTGATGCTACTGATCCCAAAGAAACTGATGGAACCTCATTCCTGACACTTCTTGTGACTTCTGTCTCTGATATGACCCGTTCATCATTATCTGGCATCTCTTGGGGTCTTGGCCTTGCTTGGCTGTCCCTCGTAGACATGTGTGAATGGATTGGATCTGCATTTGTTGCTGGTGTATCTGCTGCTTGGGTATCAGTTTCAGGCATGTTCACATGGCTTGGGTCTGTGACGTATGCCTGCCTTGCTTATGCATTAGACTGGCTGTATATTGTGTTAGGGTTCCTGCAGTATATAGGCCTAGCCATCCTAAGTTTCTTTACTTCTGGTGTCTCTTATCTCTCTGCCCTCTTCCTTCCTGTGAATGATACCAATAACAATGTGGATGAAGCCCAAACCATCACTGAAGATGTCCAATCATGGAGCGTAGTTGGCTGGGTCTCGAGCATCGTCTCCAAGGAAAGTTTCTCTCAGTTGTATGCAAGTGCTTCTGAAATAACCCAAACCTCTGGAAATTGGTTGTGGAATAGCTGGCTGTGGCTTATTGTGACCCTCGGAGAAGCCCTTACCTCCGCTGCTTCTTATGCCCAGTGGCTCCTCTTCAGCTTCTTTTCTCTTGTTGTCTACCTGTTAACGGGACTGTGGAATCTTCTGGTATACTTATTCCTTGGTCTGATTGGCCTCTTTACATCTGCCGCATCGTCAGTCTCATATGCTGCTGTTACGACATCTTCAGCTGTGACCAACGGTGCCAAGCTGGTGAGGAACTGCATCCATTTGTTGTTATTGTTGTTTTTTACCAGATACATATAGAATATGATGTTCAGATCTTTGTTTACTATATTTTAAACCATTAAGAGTACAGATTAATTTAGAAATAAACAGAACGTTCATGTATTAACCCTTCTCTTGATTTCCATTCCAGATTGTTCTACCTTTTTATGGATCTTCTGAATCAACAAAGGAAACCACCAGTAAAACCATTGTCACAACTCCAAAAGTGGAACAGAATGTCAATTTGAACAATCCCTCGGTTGTGGAAATTGTAGACCGAGTATTGGGAAGCGAGGAGTTGAAAACCCTCATTGCAGCTGTGGCATCAGAGAGTTCCACTAAGGGGCAGTTGACTATGGATGATGTATCAAATCTTGTGAAGTGAGTTTTGTGGGTATAATGCTAGTAGAACATAACTGATTCAGAAAATATATGGTGAATATTCATTATTCTTTGTTATTAAATGAATAAATTTGCATAATTTTCTTTCAAAGGTCTGTTGTTGAAGGAGAACTTAACACATTCAAAGAGGAGACGTCTGCCTTGCGAGATGAGGTGGGCTCAAAGATTTCAATAACAGAGGACACCAACAACTACATCTTGTCTATGCAGGCGCATCAAGAACACCTTATCAAGCAATTGGATGAGGTATATAAAATTATTTCTTTCATTTCTTACATATTTTTTGTAATTAATTCTTGAGTTAGGTAATATCACTCCTGAAATTATCTATTATAAAGTTATCCTGTTACCCTCTAGGAATCCAACTTTCAAAATACAGTTACTAATTTGTCTTCTGAACACTAGTTGGGCACAAGACTAATCAAGATGGAAGGATCTAATGAGGAAAATCAGAAACTATCAGCAGAACAGCGTCAAGAGTATGAAGACCAGTTGACAGGTCTCAAGAAAGAGATAGACCTGCTTGGCACCCATCTCAACAAATTACAAGTAAGAATATTTTTGTTTGAAATAAGAGCAATGCATTTTAAATGCACACTTTTGCAAAATTGAAAATTAGTATTAACCCATTCGTCCCGGGTGTCACATATATGAGACACAGGGAAAAATAAACAATGTCGGGTTGACCGCCAGTGCGATGCTGTCTCGGGGCTGCGCTTCGAGGCAGAAGCGGCGCGTGGCCGGGCGGGCGGACAGACTCCGGGGAAGCTCCGCCCGCCGATTTTGTAGCCGCCCGGATTTTTTAATTTTGGATACAAAATGTACCTGGTGTGAATGGTTAACAGCATTATTATAGTTAAAAGTTGACCATTGAATGCTAAATGATTTAGTCTGCCGTCTACTTGAATTTGCTCTCTTCCTCCATATAACAGACAGACCACACCAACCTTGCCACTGAAGTTAAGAGCTGTTGCAAAAATAGCAGTCTGACATTAGCTGATGTAGAGAGACATGTCACCACTCTACTTGGGGACATCCTAGGCCTTCCAGCATCCTCTCAAGATGAAGGAGCAGAAGATGGAGTGAATACCTGGAGTGCTGGAGAGATGGGTGCATGGCTCAAGAGCTATTTTGTCGCCAAGGATGAGCTGGAAACCAGACTCAATTTGCTAACAGCATCAATGCAGATGAAACCAGTGGAAGGTATGCTTTAATCTAGAGGAACTGATTTTTTCTTGTTGTTCAAGGATGATGGACTTGATTTTTGGAACTTTTCATGAAGTTGAGTTACTCCAACGGATTATTCAGTATTTCTTGTCAAAAGTAAAAGGGATAGATTAGAAAAGGAAATTAGTAAGTCATGGTAATAGTAATAATGATAATGCTAATAATGATTATGATAATGATAGAGATAATGATAATATTGATGATAATAAGGAATATAAATGTTTTGCAACCTCTCCTGATATTGGTAATGTATTTCAGGTCAGAAATTTATTACAGTGATTTTATAGATTAAGATTATATTTCAGGTCAGAAATTTATTACAGTGATTTTATAGATATTAAGCTATTTCATAAATTTAAAATCATGAAAAGTGGTTGCAAACCTTTCAAGGGGATATCTGATAATATTTCAGTTTAAAAGATTTAAGATATTTTCAATATTTCGAATAAAGACAATTTTAGGAACACTAGATTAATAATTAAAGAGAGGAGATTACCTTCCTACCTATGAAACAAGTTATGAGAGTATACTAATCTGTTGCAGGCGAGACTGATACAGACAAAGCTTCAGCAGTTTTGATACAGCAGACGATAGCACAGACCACACAGATGGTAATGGACACGGTTTTAGAAAAATTACGAGCAGAGATCCATAAGCAGCATTCTGAATTCTCAGAACAGTCACAGCAGCAGGTAGCTGACCAAGTCAATCTCCAGATGCAGGCAGCAGCTGAGGTCCTGGGAACACAGATTACAGATCAATTACAACATCGTTTTGAGACCACAAAGGTACAGATAACAGACCAAGTGAACATTGCTGTAGATTCAGCAGTCAAGGATGCCGTACCCAAGTCTGTTGCCTCAGTTGTACCTGATGTTGTAGCAAAAGCAGCACCTGATATGGTTGCAGCAGTTGTTCCTGACATTGTTGCAAAAGCTGTTCCAGGTGCAGTTGACTCTGCAGTAAAGATTGCAGTTGCAGAGGCTGTACCAGAAGCTGTAGAAATGAAAGTGTCTAGTGCTGTATCATCTGCTGTACGAGATGCAGTTGCTGAATCTGTTCCTGAAGCTGTGGCTAAAGCTGTACCAGGAGCTGTATCAGAAGCTCTACCAGATGCTGTCAATGAGGCAGTCAACGCAGCTGTTCCTGAGGCAGTATCAGCAGCAGTCCCAGAAGCTGTTGCCTCTGCTGCACCAGAAGTGGTAGCCTCGCTCCTGCCATCAGCTGTACAGGCTGCAGTAAATGAGACAGTGTCATCAGCAATTCCTGCTGCAGTGGAAATGATTGTAAATAAGGCAGGTGATCAAGACTTAAAGGTAAGGCCTAAGACTCACTTTAGGGATGTATATGGAATCAAGGCCTAGTTGTAAAGAGGTAGGAGTGAATATACTGTGTATATTACAGATATGTTTTCATGGATATGTACTGTATGTATTTGCATTGTTAATATTTTTTCAGCTCTCACTTACGGCACTTATTTCCAATTGCAGCAGAGTGGAGGTGACAACATTGCCATTATGGGAGTCTCCTCTGCAACAGACAGTAGTGAAGAAGGGAAAGTATCTGCTACAGTCAACATTTCTCAGAATCTTAACAATGGATCAAACTTTTCATTCGTACCATCTGGCAGTGCGTTCTCAGCAGGGTTAAATGAATCTGCTGTAATACAGATTGTTAAAGATGCACTCATGAAATATGATGCAGACAAGACTGGAATGGTGGATCATGCCCTAGAAACTGCTGGAGGAAATATTATATCAACACGCTGCACAGAGAGTTACCAGGTAAGATGAAATAAGTATAACAGTACCATCATCTGCATTTATAATGTCTTAGTATATTATGTATTATATTTTGATTTTTCAAATCTTTATTCTGTTAAGGTTATTATTAATGTTTTTAAAAATATTTACCCTTTTTTCTTCAGGTACACCAGGCTGAAGTGAGCATTCTTGGATTCCCTGTATACCGCTATTCAACAAACACCCCTCGCACCATCATCCAGCCGGGCCGCATGCCTGGTCAGTGCTGGGCATTCAAGGGATCTCAGGGCTACATTGTAATTCAGCTGGCTGGATCTGTCCGACCAACTGGA